GTTGGGGTTTCTGCCTTCATTTAACAAACCCTCCCTCCCATCGCTCCATGTCTCACAGGTCTGTTTCTTTGGTTTGTGTCACTAACGCCGCAGCTGTCTCTTCACTGCTCCCTCTGTTTCAGCCATGAACAAGCCGAGCTGTCCCCCTGGTATGAAGTGGGACCGCCTGGTCCGCATCTGTATCTCAAACAGAATGGAACCACTGACCGGTGAGTTTCACTGAATCCGTTATTCCTCCTCTAAAAGCGTCGTATCTGCCTCGTGAACACAGCAGCTGTGCCTGAATCTGCTCATCTTGTTTCTACACCTAGTTGGACTTAACCTCTCTTGTCCACTTTTAGATGTTGACTTGAATTGTTGCTGCCAAACTCAAACCTGAGACATGTTGTTTCCACCTGATCTACCTGTTTTTATTTCCTTGTTGGTGTGAACCATTTGAGGACTTGCACCTCCAGCTGCTAATGGACTGAGCAGTCATTAAAACAGTACTGTCTGATGGGATAAATACCTCTGTAGATCTTAAAGCAGCCTGTCTTCTCCTCTAGGAACAAATCAGTGCTTATAAATTCCAGTTAGACTCATATCTGATGTAATCACTTGAGTTTGCAGCTGTTGAGCATCTTTTTCTGTTGAGGTGGTGAATGTGTCTGTTTTCCCCAGCGCCGCCCCTGGTTTTACATGCCTCTAACACGCCGCACAACTCAGTGCTGGTGCCAGGTTTGGTTCTGTGGAGCGTTGTGGTGCTGGCCATAGTCGGGTCCATCTTGGCTCTGGCTCTCTGGTTCATCATATTCAGACGTCAGAGCAGGCTCAGCAGCCCAGCAGGTAAGGACAGCTGACACTGACACACATAAGGTTGGTTTTAATTAATTAATCACAAAAGCTCAACATATCCCAGGATTTTTGGTGCCAAAAAATAGTTTTACAGTAGTCCAACAGTCTTTGATTCTTCAGTGTGAGCATCTGATAAAAGTTTGGATACTTTCCCCAAACTTTTCTGCTCTGACGACAGTGGAAGCCTTGAGGAAACAAGTTGAGAAATGTTGGCATTAAACAAGATACCTATAAAAAGGTTGTCACGTAATACCAGCTTTCTGCTACTTTATTCTAAAAATATGAGTGTCAGCCTTGAAACGTCTCAAGGTGGTGAGCTCTGGTGAAACTCAAGAGCTGCTCAAGTAGAATGTACAGGCAAGTTCGATACTCGATACCATCATGTGATAGCTAAAAGAAAGCCCCAGATTTCAGAGATAATAATGGCTCCTCCATGTCTTGGTTTAAATCTCCCACAGTGAAATATTTTGCAAGCAGTTTTTCAGGCATTTATCTGGTGTTAGTTTTACAGTAAGCAGGGACATGCAGAGCAGGCATCTGAGAGTTGTGTGCAGGAAGCCGGGTCGCAGGCAGGCAGGTGATGAAGTGTGACGTTCATCACACTAGAAACTCCACAGTTTCTGTTTTCTTCTGTTGTCCCTGGGGTCGGCCCCGCTCTCCTACCAGCTATTCTGGTTTGAACACACATCCGTTGGTTAGGCAGGACAAGTTAGGACTCCACATGACTCTGAAAACACACAAACTGTCAAAAAAAGACAGAGAGAGGCACTAACAGCAATAACTGGCACCAGTGTGTCATGCAGGTGTCCCTCGGTTTACATAAAAAGATAAACATACGCTCATCGGCCACTTTACTAGGTACACCTGTCCAGTTGTATGCACTTCAGTGCAACACTTCTGTGTTTATGAAGCTCAACATGTTTGTTTTTGGTGAAATTGTCATAAATCTATCATTTCAATTATAAGCTTATTATTGAGGTCATTGTTAAAGGTGGTGTTGTATTGGACTACATTATATTCAGAAGGATCTCTTTCTTTCCTCCCCAGCTACATCTATGAGAGGGTTAGAATATTAGCAACACCTCTCAATATAATGCAACTTCTCTTTAATAATTATATAAAAAGGAGCTGTCCTTGGATCCAGTAAATCTATTTATAGCAAATATATTTACTTTCTTGTGTCACCTCCAGTAAAATTGCAGAAGTTGTGTATTAGGAACGACTGAATTCTTTTGTTTCCGTTAGAAACACCAACTCTGTGTTCCTTGGTGCTAATTTAATAATAAATAAACTTGGTAAACATACATACTTTATCTGTCAATGAAAAGCCAATTAAATGTTCTAAACAGCCAGTATTTGGTCATGAGGTTTTACTCCGGTGGACAGATTGAGTAACTGCAACGTATTAACTTCGTCATGTTAGTGTGAATATATACCACACTACATTTCCGGTGACGACTTTCAAATTACAGTGACCCTGCCTAAACTAGCAGAATTTACGTAAAAGAACTAGTCATAAATTTATGGACAAAAAAGGCTATTGTTACGTGACTAATGAGGGTAGTCCAGGTAGCACTGCTTGTACTAGCGAGCTTTGCCAGTAGTGCTACTATTCTATTCTTTCAGTTGTGATTAACGTAAGCACAACTAGCAGGACTATGAAAATTTGTTCATTGTAGCCCACTACAGAAGCGCATTTCATTCAATAAAGGAAAAGAAAAGTATTTTTCTCATAAATATGACTTAAGACGCTGGGGTTGAGGAGACAGCATCATGTCTTTCGATGAGGAAGCAGAGGCCAGGGGCTTGGAGGTGGACTCGTCCATCACCCAAGCTGAAGTCACCGAGGTAGTTAAAAGCTTCTCGGTGGCAAGGCAACGGGGGTGGATGAGATCCACCCTGAGTACCTTAAGTCTCTGGGTGTTGTGGGGCTGTCTTGGCTGACATGCCTCTGCAACGTCGCATGGCGGTTGGGGACAGTGCCTCTGGACTGGCAGACCGGGGTGGTGGTCCTTCTTTTCAAGAAGGGGGACCGGAGGGTGTGTTCCAACTATAAGGGGATCACACTCCTCAGCCTCCCCGGGAAAGTCTATGCCAGGGTACTGGAGAGGAGAATTCGACCGAT